AAACCGAGACCGAAGGGCTAAGATGGCCGCTTCGTGAAGGCAGAGAAATCTGAGGAGCAGATGGCGCGCGCGCACTAATATAATGTGACGACGCAAGAGCGTCGGGGCGGCGCCCGCACCATCAGCCAATGAATTGGCGTGATTCTATAAGGGCTTCAGACAATCGGCACACCCAGAGGGCGTTCACACTGCGTCCTAAGCTACGCAGCGTTGAGTGAACCTATGAAAGAGAACACAATAACACAATAACCATAATGCGTTGTTCAGTATAAACGTGGAATTATGAATTATATTGAGAACGTCATACATAGAAAACATGCCGTAATGTACCCTGAGTGTAAACCTTAGACGCATTCATTGTGAAGCGTGCAGCTAGCGATTTGCAAAGATTAATATATTAATATAAAGTTTAATAAAACGTTTCACTCACTTCAGTTCTTCTGGAGGTTCAGCAGGAACACGAATATCTGGTACCGATCCTTTTTAGCAAAGCTTCTTAGCAAAACCAGCTCATACTGACCCTCGTTTATAAAGCAGTCTGGTGAGAAATGATTCGCGCAAACATGAAAGCATTGACGTTGCTCGTGGGGAATATTCCCTTCGAAAACAAACTCAGCCACTGCATCTTCAACGGTTCGGATTCAGGAACATTAAAATGACTGTGTTCGTTATTACACCCAAGAACAGAACACCACAATCGCTTAGACGCCATTCTGCTCATAGACAGTGCTCCGGCACATCAACAATGACCGCGCCGGTCCGGTCCGCGCCGCGCAGACTATGATTGACAGCTCCCTCATGTGCGAGGGCGGGTCTGTGTTGAAACGCTCCCGTCAATCAACAATCGTGGGAGGGGCGTTCGTTTTATTGACGTCACAAAAACGAACGGCTCGATTTGAGGCAGGGGAAAACATATAAGGAGATTAAAACAAAACCACTGGATGGATTTTTATCATTTTATGATGTTTGTGTACAGGCACTGCCAACACACATTTCAGTACAATCAACTTGTAAAAGTGCATGTACCATTATATGACCCCTTTAAAACGCATGCAGATAATAAATAATCATGATGATGAAGAACTGCAATGTCACCTGAGCGCGATATAGGTTATAATCAAAACAGTTTTCGGCAGAGTATCCGAGGCACGAGCTGTACAGGCTCCGCCCTCTTCTGGAAAGGGGGCGGGGCAACAGCTCATTTGCATTTAAAGACACGTGCACGAAAACAGCATGTTTTTCCTTCCACTCAAAAATGGCCATTTACAACATGGTGTAACAACTGATCTGTGGGGTATTTTGAGCTGAAACTTCACACACACATTCTGGGACTCCTGAGACTTATATTAGCCTACAACTTGTTAAAAGGGCCATAATAGGTCCCCTTTAAACACCTGATTAATCTGGATGAAATTCTGATCAGATTGAAAGATAATTCAGGACAAATCGGGTTAAAAAAATAACTCGCCATAATACTTATGTATGTTTAACGACATTTTATGTCATAAGCGTTTATTTCTTTACGCCTCATCATGGTCAAAAATGTGGGCGGGGGGCTTGATTGTGTCTGTGAGGAATTGATTGGATGGTTGTGGTTTGTTATTGGCTGCAGGGGCGGATTGGCCATCGGGAATACCGGGAACAATCCCGAACGGCCGGTCCATTTCAGGCCGAAGACCGGCCGGTGGTCAAAGAGCATTGTTTTTTTGTTGTTTTTTTTTTAATGATACGCGACCGGCTGCTCAGATGCAGCAGAACGCTGTGTGTGTGTGATTGAGACCGGGCCAAACCAATACTTTCAATCTGAGGGGGGATAAGAGCGGCCCCTCCCAACTTGGACTGATCCTCATTTTTCCTGACATCTGATTGGCTCAAACTAGGCACCGATCAAAGGAGTTTACTTTTGGTCATGTTTGGCGGGTTTGTGTGAATGCAATGCAACAGAGACGGACGGTAAAAATGGCGAAAAGAAGAAAAGAAGAGAAAGAAATGGGTGGGGCAAAAAAATAAGAATTAAAAAGAAAAGATTTTTGGCACAAGAGGCCGCTAAATGGGCCAAATTAACAGACCTTTTCCGTAGTGGAGTGCTGTGGCAGCCGGAGGTGCAGATGAGGAAGAAGGACCCAGCAGCATGGACAGGACAGGTGCACGATTAGGGATATATTAGTGATTAATTATACACTGAAATTGTTTATATTTGCATTTAAATATAGGCATTTATTGCGTGGCTTGGTAGAAGTCCTATTCTACCAAGCCATTTTCTATGACTATTTGACTATTTTCTTTAGTGGAAGCAATACAATCGTTTTTAAATAAATAAACTGCTTTTTAAATCAATATTTTGTGTGAAATTATTGATTTATTTGGTAGGTAGCCATGTAATAAGCGGGATATTGTATAGTGAGGCAGCTGATACAAACGCTATAACAACCGCCTCGCTATACATTATCCCTTACATATATTATAGATTTATAGATTTATTATTTATTATAAACAGCAGTTTGCAGTTTGTCGTCACACACAGACAACATCCTTCTATAAGCAAGGAATCTGTATGTCTGTATATGTACACTCACCGGCCACTTTATTAGGTACACCTGTCCAACTGCTCGTTAACACTTAATTTCTAAGCAGCCAATCACATGGCGGCAACTACGTGCATTTAGGCATGTAGACATGGTCAAGACAATCTCCTGCAGTTCAAACCGAGCATCAGTATGGGGAAGAAAGGTGATTTGAGTGACTTTGAACGTGGCATGATTGTTGGTGCCAGAAGGGCTGGTCTGAGTATTTCAGAAACTGCTAATCTACTGGGATTTTCACGCACAACCATCTCTAGGGTTTACAGAGAATGGTCCGAAAAAGAAAAAACATCCAGTGAGCGGCAGTTCTGTGGGCGGAAATGCCTTGTTGATGCCAGAGGTCAGAGGAGAATGGCCAGACTGGTTCGAGCTGATAGAAGGGCAACAGTGACTGAAATAACCACTCGTTACAACCGAGGTATGCAGCAAAGCATTTGTGAAGCCACAACACGCACAACCTTGAGGCGGATGGGCTACAACAGCAAAAGACTCCACCGGGTACCACTCATCTCCACTACAAATAGGAAAAAGAGGCTACAATTTGCAAGAGCTCACCAAAATTGAACAGTTGAAGACTGGAAAAATGTTGCCTGGTCTGATGAGTCTCGATTTCTGTTGAGACATTCAGATGTTAGAGTCAGAATTTGGCGTAAACAGAATGAGAACATGGAACCATCATGCCTTGTTACCACTGTGCAGGCTGGTGGTGGTGGTGTAATGGTGTGGGGGATGTTTTCCTGGCACACTTTAGGCCCCTTAGTGCCAATTGGGCATGGTTTAAATGCCACGGCCTACCTGAGCATTGTTTCTGACCATGTCCATCCCTTTATGGCCACCATGTACCCATCCTCTGATGGCTACTTCCACCATGTCACAAAGCTCTAATCATTTCAAATTGGTTTCTTGAACATGACAATGAGTTCACTGTACTAAAATGGCCTCCACAGTCACCAGATCTCAACCCAATAGAGCATCTTTGGGATGTGGTGGAACGGGAGATTCGCATCATGGATGTGCAGCCGACAAATCTGCGGCAACTGTGTGATGCCATCATGTCAATATGGACCAAACTCCCTGAGGAATGCTTCCAGCACCTTGTTGAATCTATGCCACGAAGAATTGAGGCAGTTCTGAAGGCAAAAGGGGGTCCAACCCGTTACTAGCATGGGGTACCTAATAAAGTGGCCGGTGAGTGTATATTTGTTAGTATTTGTAACTATTTTATCACTCCGACTGACTGTACATGACATGCTGGTAGTTAGCAGTATGGTGAACGTGATTTCACCAAGTACCGCATGTTCCTGGATCAACATCGTTGTTGATCCTGGATCAACTTTCCAATCAACCAATCAGATTTGAGGGACAAGTTTACAGTTTATGTCAAGTTTAGGCTTAGAACCAGGGTGAAGCACTTACACATCAGTGTCATTCACCTTTCATTACCCTCTGATTTTAGGGAAAAGTTATGGGTAGGGTTAGGTTTACGGGTAGGGATTGGGTAAGGACTACATTTTGGGACAGGAATGTTGATCCAGGATCAACAAAATATGTTGATCCAGGACCATGTCTTACTTGGCAAAATCACGGTGACCTTAGCGGTATACTGTGAGTGTTCGAGATTAGTTTTGCTGACCTGGTTGTGTTCAGTGCAGTGGTGACTTGCTTATACAACCTGAAGAGGCAAGTGTCATCCTAAAATTTCTTGAAGGTCTTCAGTGTGATCTGATTCTCTTTATACCATAAAAACACTATTAGAATTAAAATAACTGCAAAAAATCCTTCTGCTCGTGCACCTAGGGCACTCGCGTAAAAGGCCTCTCCATCTTAAAGTCCCGGGCTGGATTTCAGTCCCAGTACGTCCCTGATTGGCTGATCTCGTGTGAGTGACAGGTTGCCCCGCCCACATCATCAGAGAAGAGACGCTGCAAGAGGGAGTTATTCTGATTCAGAATAACTTATTCTGACATTATTAACATGATGTGCACACATAAATCATTTAGAATTAACCCTGCAATATTCTATATACCAAAAGGTCAATTTTAATTCGCTGGTGACTCTGTGGACGCACAGATGTGAGAGATGTTCCTCTGAACACGCAAGTGCAGATTGAGCCGCGACACACGTGTTTTAATGTGTCTGTCACTTGATGATTAGAGGGGGTTATTTTAGATGCAATGGTGCTTTACAACATATGCAAGATGTTTTCCACCTTAAAAATACATTCTTTATGTAATGGATGCAGGCGGACATCAGGTGTGAACTCCCGAGTGTGACACTGTGTGTGTGTGTGTTGCTGAGATGTGAACATGATACTGTCATCAGGTGTTTGCAGTGATAAGTTCATTAGTGTTCACGGTTTTGTTTGTCCAGTGACAGCGTGGAGAGAAAGGCCGAGCGATCTGAAATAAACTCGAGGAGGAGCTCGGACACACCAGGCGCTGATGACACTTATAAAGACACACACACCGCGGCGTGTGTTACTGTGTGCTACTGAACAGCTCAATCACAGGTCACTACACACAACACTCACTTCAGTTGATTCTTTCCTTAGGAGACGTGACCTTTGACCTTTGATGATGATGTTCTCTCCACAGGACATGAGTTCTGCCCTCATTCATGACAAACTCTTCATCAAGACGTTCTGGGAGCAGAAGATCGTCAATCACGGCCACATGAGAGACGTCGAGGAAGGCAGGATGAAGAAGAGCGCTCTCACGAAGTAAGTCACACACACATCACATGCAGTTTCAACACCATACGCTATTACTCAGGCAGAAGGGATGTTTTCTTTCTTTTAAAGCACTGTTGTGTTAATACAGGCATTTCTGCATATATTAAAGCGCTGGACTAAACAATATAATACAGGTGAAACTGGAAAAATTAGAATATGGTGCAAAAGTTCATTTATTTCAGTAATTCAACTTAAAAGGTGAAACTAATATATTATATAGACTCATTACATGCAAAGTGAGATATTTCAAGCCTTTATTTGTTATAATTGTGATGATTATTATGAAAACCCCAAATTCAAAATTAGAATATTGTGAAAAGGTCTTCATATCTGTAAGTCATAATCATCACAATTATAACAAATAAAGGCTTGAAATATCTCACTTTGCATGTAATGAGTCTATATAATATATTAGTTTCACCTTTTAAGTTGAATTACTGAAATAAATTAACTTTTGCACCATATTCTAACTTTTCCAGTTTCACCTGTATAATATATCCTGAATAATTAAACTTTTCAAACCCAATATTCTATTGTATATTTTTTTAATGCTGTGCAACGATTAATCGCATCCAAAATAAAAGTGTGTGTTTGCATAATATATGTGTGTGTATAATTATTTTGTATATATACACATGCATGTATATATTTAAGAAATATGTGCATGCATATTCTGTATATATATTTATACATAATTTATTTTATATATATATAAATATATAATATATAAATAACACATTTTTCTTAAATATATACAGTACATGCATGTGTGTGTATTTATATATACAAAATAATTATACACAGCACACACACACACACACATATATTATGTAAACACACACAGTTTTATTTTGGATGATTAATCGTTGCCCAGCTAAAAAAAAAAATCTGCTATATTATTATTATTTTTATACACATGAAGCGGGTGTGAAGGGACATTCGGTGTGTGTTTCTGAGCTGATATTTAATATCTCGCGTCCTGCTGACGACAGAAGATTATCAGGCTAACAGCCTCGAATCAATAATCCATGACAGCTGTGCAAATATAATATTATAAACACTCGTTCCCACATACAGTATATTGAGAGAATTATTAAAGATCCTTTTTGAGCTTAAAATAAAAAGAGAAAATGATTCATATGTCTTGCATCTTACACGAAATCTATTCAAAAATGCAAGATTTTATTAAACCCTTAGCTGTCACCCCCCTTTTTGAGAATGGGGGTTAAAATGCACTATTCAAACTTAAGTGGTTGTAATTCAAGAATGCTTTGGAATATATACCTAAGTTTGGTCTTGTTTTAAAGGAAACACTCAGCAGATTATTGCTGAAGTGAAAACACGTCCAAAAATGAAAGTATGAAAAAGTTATGGAAGTTTAAATTTACAGTAAATCAAATATACTGTACTATATATTTTTTTATTTTATACAAAATATATATTTTACAAAATATTTTTTACTATAAAATTACTATAAAATCAAAGCCATATATCTAACCAAGTTATGTTCCAAATTTGAAGTTGATATCACAAAAAAGTTAAGTTCCCATGAGATTTTGTTTAGGCGTAGTACCAAAAATAGCCACCGGGTGACATACATTCCGTTTAATTTAGTTGAATACACTCTGCCTTAACAAATTAATAAATTTCTGTCCAAATATCAATTCTGTCACAAAATTTGGAACCTTGAGACTCAGACCTTTCTGACAATGTGTGTTTTGTCAGGATTAGAAAAGGTTTTGATCATAAATTATGAAATATAATGATGCCCAAAAGGGGAGGAGCCTGATAAAATATTTTAGAGTACCGTTTCTATGGTAACGCAACGTTCAATTTCAAAACGGTTTTCACGGGATGAATTCTGTGTTTGTAAGCTTTCAAATGATACCTAATTTATGATAACTACTAAAATATGTGATATAATAAAAAAAGGCGATAAAAAAGATATTATATTTTAGAGGATAATATACATATTATACTTTTTAGAGGATAATATTATATTATAATTTTTTATTCAAAAATACTAGATTATATGTTTTTTTATGAACTTTTTAGCATGAAAACCAAAGTTTCAATTATTAAAGGTGTGTGCGTCAACTTTTTGTGACAAAGGTCAGACCTCCTGTTATGACGCAGATTTTTTTGAGGTGCACTCTTGTCAAAAAATCATCGGTTACTCTTCCTACATAATTTGTAGCAAAAAACAGCAGTCAAATATCTATTTAGCAGTCTTAGACCTTTCCAACGATATATAGTTTGTCATAATTAGATTAGGATTTAATAGTAATATAGCGAAGTAAAGTTAGATATCCCGTATACGGGGATGGTGACAGTTAAGTTAAAGAAACAATTTTTATTCATCATGGATGCATTAAATTGACCAAAAGGGACATTTTATAATGTTACAAAAGATTCTATTTCAGATAAACGCTGTTCTTTTGAACTTTCTATTCATCAAAGAATCCTGAAAAATAAAATGTATCACAGTTTCCACAAAAATATGAACATTGATAATAATCATAAATGTTTCTTGAGCAGCAAATCATGGTATTACTTGTCGGAGCTCATTACGCCTTGTAAGGGAAATATATCAGTGAGATCCTCAAGTAAACTCCTGTTAATCCCACGAGGAGTCTGAAGGCTGATCATGCGGTCCGAGATTACGGAACGACCCTTTTTTGTTAAATCTTTAGATCTTCCTCAACATTACATATTTGTAGGTTTCGTCTAAAGTCTCACTTGCACTCTTTAATCCCTTAAGTGTCACTGAAATTTGAAACACAACTTGTTCAGAGTTTTAGCTTTGATTTCCTTGCCGTTTTAGAGTCCACCAGGTTTTGAAAAAATATATTTGATATAAAATATGAATAATTAAACTCAAACTTTTTTTCTGTTTCACTTTCTTAATTTACCAGTTCTGCCAAATGTCTTCTTTAAAACAAGACCAATCTTACATCTATATTCCAAAGCATTCTTGAATTACAACCATTTATGTTCGGATTGTGCATTTTCATGTTTATTCAAAAAAGGGGGCGCGACACTTAAGAGGTTAATATGTGTCGTACTTTTTTATTGTTTATCTTGTTTTTTTGTTCTCGATCATTTGTAATGGACAGCACTTTGGAGCTCGTGTAGCCTGGAATAAATAAAAGTACAGCACTTATCCGAAATAGAATCTTTTGTAACATTATAAATGTCTTTACTGTCACTTTTGATCAATTTAACTCATCCTTAATGAATAAAAGTATTGATTTATTTTATTTCTTTCCCCCAAAAAATTATAAAAATTCTTACTGACCCCAAACTTTTGAACGGTAGTGTTTAATATTACAAAAAGCGTTCGATTTCAGATAAATGCTGTTCTTTTGAACTTTCTATTCATCTAATAATCCTGAAATAAAAATGTAAAAAACTGTTTTCAACACTGATAATAATCATAAATGTTTCTTGAGCATCAGATCCTCATATTAGAGTGATTTCTGAAGGATCATGTGACACTGAAGACTGGAGTAATGATGCTGGAAATCACAGGAATAAATTACACTTTACTATATATTCACATAGAAAACAGCTGATTTACATTATAAAAATATTTCACTATTTTTTACTGTATTTTTGATCTAATAAACGCAGCCTTGGTGAGCAGAAGAGACTCTTTCACACACATTAAAAAGTCTCACTGCACACTAAGTGAATATGCTTGAAATAAACGATGTTTTCTGCAGAGAGTTTAATATGATAAGCATGATAAATATGATAAACATGATGACCTGTGTGTTTCAGGCTGCGTGACGAGTGGCTCACGAGACTGGAGGCTCGGACCAAACATCTGAAGAACTTCGGTGACCGCGGGACGAACTCGAGCGCCGCATGACGGGGAGATCACACTGATCCGATGCCACAATAAACACACACACACACACACTCCTGAGCTGTGTTCGATTCTCTTTATTTCACACTCACAAACGACAGATGGAAATATTCAGGCTCCGAACAGGTGCGGTGAAGGACGCGAGTGTGTCCAAACACTGATCCCACACACACACACACACCTGGACAAACTGACACGCGTGCTGAAAGATCCGAGTATTTCAAGCTCTGTCAGCGCTCGTTTAAACTCGATCCATCATGAGTGATTAACAAAACTCTGTGTAGCTCCTGAAAGCAAAAGATCAAAAAACTAAAATATGATGTTTGAATGAAAGTGTTTTTCAATGAAAACATGCGTCTGGAGTCCATCAACGGAGAAACAAAATGGAGGCATTTTCCTAAAGCTTGACGCGGTGAATCTGCAATCCTCCTCTACTTCTTCTTCTTCTTCCCTTTCTTCCCTCCCTCCCCCGGCTGGGCTCCGGCCTCGGCGCCGCCGCTCTTCTGCGTTCGGCTCTTCAGTTTCGGGATCATCTCCGCCGCATAAAACATCACGTCCTTTCCTGAGGGCAGAGAGAGACGAGTGATGTCATTTCCTCTCGTTATACGCCTCGTTTAACGCCGCTTCCATGCGCCGACTGCCTCTGACTAGTGTGATTTTTGAAAAAAATACACATCTAAGTGCTTATTTTATGAGTTGTATCTGTACATTTCAATCTTTAAAGGCGGTGAGTTTGAGTCAGAAATCTCCATTTAGGCAGTTCTGGAAATATGTGTGTGTGTGTGTGTCAGTGAGGGAATGTGTGTGTGAGAGAGA